AATTAGTCACTGGGTTTGCATACATGACTTGAAGCAATCAAGTTAGTGCCACTCAACCTGTTACTATTAGGGACTTTTGATTGCATTAGCTGACACATAAACTCTTACCTTGTTGCAATTGATAATAAAATGTGTTGCCTGGAACTACTTTTAATCACCAGGTATTTGGTACCCTGCTTGTCCCTGTCCCACATGTTTAAGTGTTTAAAACTAATATGGGTGCTGCTGAAGAATAAGACCATATGACTTTCCATGTGAGCCTCCTACTGATGCAGGTTGAAAGCTTCACTCTTTAAAAGAAATAGCAGAGATGCTGAGAACAAGGCATTCATGCAATGCAACCCAGCCTGAGAGAGCTAGGTATCAGCCAGCCACAGATAGTTTCAAGGTTTATTAAAAAATGGTCCCTTAACAACACACAAAGATCCCTACACGTACACAAGAAAAAACAAGCTGACTTCAAGAAAACAAGAAAAAAAATCAGATTGTACACTTTCAGAGACTGAACTCTACAACTGAGCATTAATGCCATTAAAAGAATTCAGAATGTTCAGTTTGTGCCTGAAGGGTGGAATGACAGCTAATGTTCTTCTGGGTTTTGAAATAAATTTGACCTGTGCACTTAGGTTATCACTGAACTATAAAAGCAGTCCAAAAGGAATCTCCGCCCCCCCAAAACATTCAAGTCCTTTTTACAAAGTTGTCCTTCTTCACAGTGCTCCCATCCTTCAGTATTGCAGGCATACAAAAGGCACACATCCACCCTTCCCCTCCACAGCAGATGATTGCTGCAAGCCCAGGGAGTACTGGTGTTGTGAGATACCTGAAATCCCAGCTAAGAATTGGCTTTGGTATCATATTTTTAAGAGCATGCCACCTGTGACTGAAAAGATGTAGGAATTGTCTGTTTTGGTTGTGACTTCAGTAGTAACTTGTTATTTTCCTTCAAACATCCATTATTTCCAGAGCAGGGAAAAAAGAGAGTAAAACATTGAGTGTTTAAAAAGGAAGTGTTTTTTTCAACAACTGAGAGCTGTATTTGGAAAATTGTAAGTTTTTAGCAATCTCACACAAAACCAATCGTGATTCCGTATTGCTTGAAAGTAAATAAATTTACATTTCATCAACAAAAATTCTCCCCTGAATAAAAATCAGATAAAGTCTCCTCAATGCAAAAATGCTTTATCTTTGTTTTCCAATATAACTGATTTCCTGATCAACAAAGTTAACACAAATTTATTATTCAACTTTAAGCTAGTTGCATTCTAAGTTGAGTTCTTTGTTTTGAATTCCACCTGTAAAATTTGTTAAACAACCAGAAATGACAGTCATTGCTTTTTTTTCCGATTTTTTTTTTGTTTATAACTAAAAAAAATTGTAAATAACCTGCAAATTACTTAGATTAATTTAAGCTGCAACCTAGAACTTCATTTAAGGATCTTAAAAACAAAAAAGCAAAACACAATGAAGAAAAATATATGCCTGTCTTTTCCTAAAGTGATGGAGGTACATTTCTTTCTATAACAAATAAATGTCTCAAGTAATTTAATAAATTTTTAAACTAAATATTGTTTCTAAACAGAGTCACACATTGAAAATGATTCCTAAAAGATGTTTTTAGAGTAGCCTGGACTTTGAAGTTTAACTGTCCATATTCAGCCGGTAATACCCATGATACAGTTATATCAGCAATTCCTAGGAAATAATATGATACATCAAAAGGAATTTCAGTTGCAATTTTTCTGGAGAAAAGACAATTATTTCTAATTTGTTAAACTGAAGTTCAATTACTCATCTCAGTAAATGCATGTCTTGTCTGTTGTCCTAGAATCCTGGCTAGCACCTTTCATGAAAAAGGGTTTTTTTCTCCATAACTTAAGATTCGTAATCATAATCTTTTATTAATAAAACTAGGCCTTACTGTCTCAGAAACAAAAGAATAAGCTTGCTTTAGATTCTTAGAGGATAAGAACAGTGACAGTAGTTATAGGGAAAATGTCCTGGAGTAAATTTTATCAGCTTGATGCTGCTGTCTTCAGAAGTTACTGTCAGAGTAGCAGTAGGTTGTCCAGCTCATGGAAGGAGTGCATGGTGGCCATTCAGCAGATCCCCAGACCAGTGACCCTGCAGTTCTCCACAGTCAGTATTTATTGGGTTCTGCTCCTTTTAAAACTTTAAGTAAGTTTTAATAGAAATAGGCAAATTTTGTTTAAGAATACTAGTTGGAGCTTATAGTGATAAGTTGATGGAAAAAACAATGCTGAGCTTCTCTAAAGAAGGCTTTAAAGCTCCCCCAGCAGTTGCTTTTTTATGAGAGAGGTTCAGTTGGCCAAGTTCTGAGAAGACCAGGAGGCTGGGTCTGAGCTGTGTTCTGAGAGCTTGTGGAAAGGGGAGAACAGAGTTAAACAAGAGGTCATAAGATGTCTTCTTACTCTCAGAAGACACAGTGGGGCTTGGACAGACTTCTCTACTGAGAATGTCTTGGTCCTCTGGTCTAGACTGCTATCCTCTGGTCTACTACTAGAATCACAGGGTATACATGTTTTCACCCTTCAGCGTGGCATAAAACATGGGCTGTGATGCAGCAGTGGACAGCTTATTGGCTTCTTTTTCTAGGAACCTATTTTTTTTAACCTGATTAGAGACCTGGGTTTTGCTAGAACAGAAATTCTCTACTAATTTGATCTCTTGCTCCATTAACCAGGGCAGTGATCCCTTAACAAAAAGGGCATAAAAAGTGTTATCACTTCTACCTCTTCCTGCATTTGCAAGTTCTGGGCAGCTTCAGGAGTTCAAACAAGTCAGCATTAAGCAGTCAGGCTACCTCAGCAAGACATCCACACAGCTCTCTGCTTCAATAATGTCTTCAAATATAGGCCTGACAATTTTTCCAATAATGATTTTGCACATCTTTCATCTAGATACTACTCCCTTTCTCCTCTGTGTTGCTGTCGGGAATTTTCTCTGTTGTTTGTTTTGGTTTTTTTTCCACATTCTTTATTCTCCTTCCCTTTAAACTTGCTTTCCTGTCTTTCATCACAGATCCTGAACTGTAATTTCTCATATTGTCTCACTGCCTCACTCAGTTACTTCTTTTTTTCTTGCACATCCTTATCTGTGCTGGAAATCCCAGAGAGAGGCTTCACAACACACCTGTGCTCATCTGCCTTGGACCTTGTGTCTTCCTGTCTGAACTATTCACCTCTCCAGTTCACAAACTTTACCAGCTTTTCCTAATCTCTTTATATAATCTCCATGTCCTGCTTTTATTATTATAAAAGACCATGTTATTTCTTCAAAGGGATAATTGAAACAATACTACTGACCCCCACTCCATTCCATTTTATGTGCTTTTCCTTTCTTACCATCAGCTGCTTTTTCTACCTAACTGAACCTATAAAATCTATCAAGATGTGAGGTCAAATAAATTTTAAATGTAAATGTGTTTCCAGAAAAAATTGAAAGGAAGAATAGAGAAGGGGGAAAGGGGAAAAATGTGTGCTGTTTCAGTAATTATATTGTTTATCCAGTTTACTGCCATGTGCTGAAATATTACCAAAATTCTAGGAAATTAGGTGGATTATGAGTTCAAGAATGGAGCACTAATTGAATTTTTCATTGAAATGACTCATCTAAGCAACGGAGTCAGCTGGATTGTCCTCCTGAATGTAAAAATCTTTACAAATGTTATCCTGGTACAGGTGCCATACTAAAAGCTTGAATCTCCTACCTCTAAAAAAAAGGATATCTGTCAGAGGAAGATTTGCTGGAAGGGGTAAGCTATTCCCAAGAAAAATGCTTTTTTTATATAACAAAGCAAGATCAATTGCTCTTGTTCTAACCTGTTTTGTCTCAACAAAAACTGGTCATGCTTGGTACAAAGCTTAATGTGTATTTCAATTTACAGATCTTAACTGAGTCATAGACCTTACACTAACCCTCTCTAAAGGCAGGAAATTTTCTTACCTTGACACTCTACATAGAAAAAGCGCTATAATTAAACAAAATATCAGTTCTAAAAATTTTATAGGCTAAAAAAATAGGAGTGTTCATTTATTACGTCAAGTTAAATATCAGCTCTAATTTCACTCATTATTATGAAAACCCTTATTCTTTTTTGTGCCTACTCTTATTATTTAAGGGAGATATCTATTGGTCTTTGCTTCATTAAAAAACAGCATTCACTGTAGTATTCTGACAAACCTGATCCTTTATTTTACATATATATTTGAACCATAAGTATCAATTTGACCATAAAATTTGGAGCCATATAGGGAAGAAAAACCCAATCAAACAAAAAAGGGTTATTAATTACTCTTAATTAGAAGTGACTAGGAGATGAATCGTTTAAATATTTTTGGCATCTTACAAACAGACAAGAGATTTGCATCTGACTTCCACTACACGTGAGACTTGGGGTTCACACATATTTGAAAAGCATGACTCAATAGCAGAACATACATATTTCACAGAACAGTGAGAGAGGACAGAATAAACTTAAAAAGGTAATTTGTTAGAATTTTGTCTTTTAGTTAAGAGGGTATTTGAAATAATTTGTTCTCTATCAAATATATTATTTTCTGCCAGCTGCTAAATCCTTTCTCTAGAAACCTAAAACACCCCAGTTGTAAATAAATGGAATCTATTTCTTAAAATCATGAAGAAGCATAAATTGAGTTTGTGTTGATTCTCTTGAAAATACCTTAAGAGTCAGAAAATAGTTCTCCTTAGTGTTTTAGTACACAAGTATTGACTATCATTATTATTCTGTCAAAGCTAATAGAGTGCATAAACATGTCAAGTACATCCTCATGATATCCTTCAAAAAGCTGCAGGAACAAGTGTAATCTTCATTAAAGAAATAAACAAACAATTTCCCATTACTTCACTAGCATAAGTGATTACAATTTGATTTTTAAAAAAGAAAAAAAAATCTTTTGGCTGCAAAAATCTTGACACTGTACAAATTATAGACTAATAGTATTTTATAAGGTACTTACATATCACTGGCAATGGAGGAATTCCTGGACATGGACTTTGGAGACAGATCATAATCACTGTCTGACCGGTAAAGGAAAGACTCCCTACGCTGACTGTGGACAAAATTTGCCTGAAGAATTAGCCCTGACCCAGGGCTTGTCATGGGGTCCAAGGGACTTCGTCCGGATGATGTACCATTGTCTACATCGAAACTGTGAAAAGAAGAGAAAATTTTTTATGTTATTGACCCAGGAATTTTAAAATTTAATAAACACCCTTCTGAGAAATTATCACAGCTAATTGCTTCTTGATAGTAATGGAGAAATAAAGACCTGGTCACATCCACTGCTATGAAAAAACACAAGTCACATAAGAGAGATACTTTAAAATTACTGATAAACAAAGAAAATCCCCAAGTCTGAAGGAAAATAAAATTGGCAGAGAAAAATCCTATGTTATTAGAAATAAAGGAAGCTTTATGCTTCTCTGCATGTAGAGTATCCATGAGCTCTATACTAGAGGGAACATGTTATTTCATTATTTACTTCTTCAGGTCGCATCTCTCATGAGCTGGACACCAATTATCCTGTCTCCCACTGCTAAGACAGCTCAGGGCTTTTTTCTTATTGAGTACCTGATCCTAATATTTTGCTACTACAGAAATATTTCAAGTACATACTTTATCTTGTCTCAGTAAACAAAGAGCCAGGATGGCATTGAGGCATATGTGTGTGCTTGAGCACATCTGCCTGCATTAGATTTGCTATTTTACTAACAGATGGAAGCAGTGAGTCCTTTGTTAATGGCCAAGCAACAAAACCTCTGTAGCCATTTGTGTCTTTGAACCATACAGTTTAGATTCAGCATTTGTTTGCTGTGTGTGCTATGAAGAGTGGTAAAGAGGCTTATCATTCCTAGAGAACACTTTTCTCACGAAAGGCTGAAGGACGAGGGAACAGAAAGAAAGAGAAGGAGAGAGTAGATGCTGTTTTACATAGACGGTAATGTTTCCACAAAGGTCTTTGAAAATCAGTGCAAAGACCTTGAACGGGAATCTGCAAACAATTAAACACTGGTACAGGGTGGGTGGTGCTGAGAAGACGTGCTCATGGCAACGTGTGGAATGGAACAGCTGCATTTGCTACTGTAGAGAGGCTTTTTGCAGCATGTGGCTTCATGTTGGGATGTCTTGCACTATGCAATCTGAGAGATTACAAATGTGTGGATTAGCAAGGCCATGTCTCTAGGCTCATTTGCCATACTAATGGGGACAAAAATAACCCTGCTAAAGCATTTAAAAATGAGGGATGAGCACAGGATCTTTCATATGATTTTTTAAACATAGATAAGCACCACATTATGCATTTTTGCTGAAACCATATAAAGTACCCATTTTGAAAATGGTGTTCATTTGAAGGACACCCGTAGGTTTCCAAATACAGCTAATGACAGGAGAAAAGGAGTGCAAGTCAGCTGTTGATTAGACTTTGGCCTAGCACAAGTGTCACAGCTGGTATATGCTACTCTGTACCAGCTTGTTTTACTTCCCATTGACCCGACTTTCCAATGAGGTTGCCACTTCAATCCTTTGCTGAAGTGACTGCATTCCCATGAACTTTTCTTCCTTTTTTAAATGAACTTATCAAAGAAACATATACCACTTATTCTGATACAGATGCACACCACCTGGCAAAGGATGTATTTTTGCCTCATAATTTATTTCATTGTTTATTTTTTACTTTGCACATATTTCTGGAACTGCAAGCTTACTGTCACATTCAGATTATATTCTTTTCTTTGTATTCACCACTTATATCTTGAATGTAGAAAAGCAAATGTAGTTGGTTTGTTAGTTTCTCTTTTTTAAAAAAATAAGGGCAGAAAATATTATTTAAAAAACTTCAGGAGAGCATAGTAATTTAATTCTCTTCTCATTGTAGTTTTCAGAAAAATTGCCTGTGAGTAAATCCAAATACATAAACTTCTTCTCTGGACTGATTTAATTTGATTATGCCTGTATACTTTCTTCTGTCCTACTGCTTTATCAACCTCACACTAAGAAAGCTTAAACCATGAGACATCAAATGAAGAGTTCTGTCACCAGTCTTCTCGGTGATTTTGGACTGTGCAGAGCTCCTCTCTGCCTTTCATTTTCCCTATTTTTGCATCTTTGTGATGACTGTAAGATCTGTTCACGAAGAGTATTTGAGAATGTATTGGAAAGGTCAAAAGGGTTACAGTAAAATGTCCTTTGCACCTTGTAGTGTTGCTAGATCATAACCACATTACCATTGTTACTAACATGACTACTATTACTTGTAGCCAATCAATATCTTTGTAGCTTAAATTCCTAAGTATTGCAGGAGCAAAAAATTATCACAATACTAGTGAAGGGTTTAGCTCATCATATCCAAATTTCCTAACATTTATACTTCATTGGCTAAATAACTTTTTTCCTCTTTAGACAGCTTCAAGAAAACACAGACTCTTGATCAATACATTGTCTGTATATTATGTTTTTCTATTGAGGGCAAGAGGGCAGATAATTCCTGCAGTATTAGGTAAAACAGAAGACTGTTCTCAGTAAGACTAATTTCTGCAATGGCAGTGTCATTTCAAACACATAAAATTGCCTGGGAACTTTCAAAAGTTAAAAGCTGGATATAAATAAATAAAGATTAATATAAGTCCCTCTCATAGGATGAAAATTTTGAATAAAGAGTTAATACTAAATTGATTTCTTTAACTGTGGAATTTATTACTCAAATGAGTCAAAACTATTCAGTTGAATTAAAGTAATATGGTTTTATTTGCAGTTTTGTTTTATTTTCTTCATTCCCCCTTTTGTGGACATGATATGAATATTATATTACCAGTCTTATTTCTTCCAGTCTGAAACTAAGGCAGACTTCTACAAATGATTTCACTGTCAGATTATAACATAGTGAATTTTTAAAATTTGGATGTCTGTTAGGTAGAACTGTAGTTTCGCCAGCTGGGGGAGGTCCTTTGGTTTGCATCACCAGGTAACCACAAGGTTGTGCAAGACATTGCTGCGGCGAGATATTTTACCCTGTTGTACTCCGTGGTGACCACTAGATGGGTGTAAAAAGCAAAAAAAAAGGATCCAAATGCATCAGCTGGATTTGCCTCGTGCTGTTCCAAATAAATGTCTTTTCTGAAAATATGCGCCAAGAAAAAAATTGTTCAGTTCTGCAGACAAAGAGAGTGTAAATGCAGAACTGTTTTTTTTTTTCAGAATCCTATGTTTATATTAAAAATATTCTGAAATGTTATAGTAGTTAAGTGTCTTATTTAGATCTTTCTGAGACATTTGCCAACACTTTCAGATACAAAAGCTTGTGGAACTCTAAATCGAAAGAAGACTTATTACAATGAAAATCATATAAATTGTTTCTTTGTCTGAATCACAAGTCTTTATTTTTAAGAAACTGTACTTCTGAGTACACTATATCAAAAAAAAAAAAGAGAATCAGAATGGGAAATTGAAAACTTTCACACCAGTTCTTTGCTCTTTGTTGTTGCATACACTGAAAAAATCAAAGGTTTAAGACACAAAATAGGACAGGATCTTTAACTTGCCTGAACAGAAATTGCAAAATGTCAGTCGTGTTTGCTTCATATTTATCTTTTCATTCTCAATTAGTTTAAGCCACAGCAAGAATATGCTGAGAATTAGAAAGAACAGAGAAACAGAACAACATCTTCATGGAAGTTGTTACTAAGGAGGACCATCTCTTTTGCTTTCATTTCACAGGCAGTAAGTGGCAATTTAAGGGCAGAATTTTACACCATTACTCCGCAGCCAGCTCTGGGCACTTTGCATAATGCATGCAACTGCCTTTGGTTACAGGAGCACTTGGCACAGACATCACAGAGTTTTATATGTTCAAAGAGCTTTGCTGCAACTCTGGAGATGCCAAAGCACTGAAAAGTCAATGATAATTCAGCAACTTTCGTGTATGCATTTTGACAAAATGTTTTAAGGCATTAGTGGTATAGTGCTTATCTTTAGAGCCTGTCTTATTCGGTGTTCAATGCTGACAAACTTGACATGAGATGAAATTCAGAAGTTTTTTTCCTTGTTTGGTTATTCATCTTGTTTGTACTTCTTGCCCACTTTCTGTCATCCAGGCTCTGTACTAAAATGGGGACAAAACTGAATGATTTGTAAACATTCATGGCTGATCTTCCCTGTGCTCCCTGTGCTGTGCACAAATAACACCACAAGCAAACTTTAGGAAGATTATTAGAGACTAGCTTAAGACTCTATGTAGCAGCACTCCTTCATTGTTAAAGACTGCACAGCTTCTTTGCCTATTGAAAGAAACCGTGGAATTCCTTTTGAGTCCCTAAAAGTGGTTTTGTACTCTCTGCAAGGCTGCTAAAAGAAAAAATGTGGAGACCTGTATATAAAATATAGACTTTAGTTATATAAGGAATAATGGCATCATAATCGCTATACCCAAGAGTTTGTAATTAAGGCTGTATAGAAAATCTTAGTGTTGGGTTTCCTTCATACTGAGAGCTTAGCACTAATCCTGCAGCATTTTGGAGGGTTTATTTTCTTTATTTTTTTTTTTTTTTTTTTATTGTTTTTTTTTTAGAGAAATATGCAATAACAGGAGAGAGAAGGAAATAAATTTCATCCTAAAATGAAGAACCTACTAGACTTTTTAAGAATGCAAATTGTGCTCCTGCTATTCCCCTTTTAGTGTCTTCCCACTTTCATCTTATCTTGGAAATTACAGGGAGGGAGAGCCAAAATAATTGAACCTCTTGGGGACATCTTATCTTTTAAGGCCATCTTTAGCATTACAGAGAGACAGGCAAGTTCTAGAAGAGCAATATTTTTCCACCATCAAAGGAGTCAATTGTACTAGTGTCAAGCAATCTCTCCAGCCATCTGTGCTATGACCTATATACACATCTCAATGTCCTCACTTCCAAGAAGTCATGTCCTGTTTTTTCACCTGGTAGCACAATCCCAATATCACACAAAATAGGTGCATTTGGTATAGCAGCTGTAATTCACTGAAATTATCACAGAAGACCTGCCCTGCAGCAACTTTCTTTGAGTAGGATCTAATTTAGAGTAAAAGCAAGGTAATAAAACCATAAGGTTCCAAGGAAAAGATAAACTATTTATTGTTTTTGCCCCAGGACAGGAGCCCATTTCTGAGGAAGGAGG